CTTTGAGAGCCCAGAGCTTTGGACCCCAAGTCTCACACAGAACACCTCCTTCATCAGTGTAGCACCACCATTTGCATTTAGCCAGCAGGCCACAGACAAAGCCCTGAATGCGATCCTTATTGTGGTCCTCTTTGTCATCATGGTATCTCTGGGGTGTACGATGGAGATAGCCAAGATCACAACTCACCTCAGGAAACCCAAAGGTGTGGCAATTGCCGTAATGGCTCAGTATGGCGTCATGCCTTTGACAGCATTCATATTGGGCAAGCTCTTCCAGCTGAGTGCTGCAGAATCCCTGGCCATCCTCATCTGCGGCTGCTGCCCGGGGGGGAACCTCTCCAACATCTTTAGTCTGGCACTGAGAGGGGACATGAACCTCAGGTAAGGAAAGCTGAGTACGTGTTCATTGCCCAGGCCAATCTAGTCATATGACTGGTTCAGAAGCTAGTTTAATCAACATTAGCAATCCCCAAGAAGCTAGAGAAAGACTGAAATACTAAGTCTAGGATATTTTTAAAGCACCCATATTGCTCAATGAGCCAATTTGTCCCAGTTTTACAATAAAACAGGATTTTGTACCTTTCTGCAAAGCACGTGGCATGCTGATCTTGATGAGATGGGTGCAGGAACACTTTTTTGCCTCCGCACAGCAGTACATATAGCATCTATCTGCTGCATCTATCCATATAGCAGCATACAGTTGTGTAAACTGAGCACACTGAAGAGGCTGCATCGGTGAGAAATATTGAACTAGCAGAACCCCACAATCCAACAAACTCTAGCGATAAAACAAGATCTGGGGGAAAATATCAAGCATGACTTGCTGTGTCACTTTGAATTTCTGAAACCTGAGCTGTACCCATAACGAGGGTCCTTTCTGAGCTGGTATAGAACTTGAGTCATCTTCCTCCCTCTCTGTTCATATCATGTCCTTATACAACCTGACAGTGATGGGGAAACCTCAGTGATAAGTTGGGAAAGATCGAGGTGAAGTCTTACATTAAAATCATGTGTCCAGGTTAGTAAGAAAAATGAGTGTATTCCATAAAAAAAAGTGTCATTCTTCTACTGAAGGGTCCTTTCTTCATCTCAGCATTGTAATGACCACATGCTCAACGGTCCTGGCAATTGGACTAATGCCTCTGCTTCTGTACCTTTACTCGGGAGGACTATATGAGGGCGATTTGGAGGGCAAGGTGCCTTACAAAGGAATAATCACCTCCCTGGTCCTAATGCTAATCCCCTGTGCCATCGGCATCATCTTGAATGAGAAGAAACCACAGTACACTGGCTTTATCATCAAGGTAAGAAGTACCCTGTGCTAGTTGCCTTTCAACCAAGGGCCTCAAGGAAGTTTTCAAAAAGAAAGGCACAGAAATATTCACTTCTTTAAGACATACCACAAATCAATGAAAGGGTTGAGGACAGAACTCAAGACATCCACTTCACCACTTTAATCATTAAAATATTTGCCCAAAGAGAAGTCCTTCACCTTTTCCAGACAAACAACATTTTGTAGGCAAGTTCCTATCTTGCTCTCCTTTGTTGGCTGCAGTTTTATTTTCTCTTGCTATAAGCAGCACTAAAAAGCCTCATAGGCACTACCCCTGACTATTGCTCTAACCAAAGCAGACCCCAGATTAAAAAAGAAAAAACCACACACCAAAAAAACCCCAAAACCCCAAAACCAAAAACCCCAAACAAAGAAACAAAAACCACAAAACCACCAAACAAATGTACCCCACTATTCTCAGAGGTCTAGCATAGGGGAAAAGCAACATCACAAAGTTGCTGCTTACATCAATGAGATATCCATCCAGCAGAAGCCACTAGATCACTAAGCGCCCGCTTATGCCTGGAATCAACGCCCTGCCTCCTTTGTACATCAGGCATTTAAATAGCAAAAGGGAAATCTGGACAACCAACTACACCACTGTCTAACTCAAGAGCTTCACTGGCAGTACCCAGAGAGCTACTAACAACTTTATAAACCTATTTTTCAGTTTCTTTCACTAAGGCTTCATCTCAGAGAAACTGGGACCAAGCACAGCAAGAATTTGGTGCCAAGACTCAAAACCAGACCTGATAAAATGACATTAGGAATCGCTAACCTTTAAGAAGCATGGGAACCTGGGAGTCAGGCTATAGCAGACACAGGACGACCAGAGCTCTTCAAAGGTTCCTTTACCCAGCTTAGGGCAGTGATGACTAGACTGTTTCAGAAGCAGCTTTATAAGCCTAGCATGAGAAGGTGACCTACACTGGCCAGATGACCCTTGGTTCATGTTCCTTTCTGCTAACACCAGCTTTCCATTTATCTTGTCTACAAAAGAGGAAGGGAGTAGAAACTTACTTTTAAAACGCACCTGGGGAATTCCATCCAAATTTTGCTGGAGATCTCTCTCTTGTCCAGGTCTTGACCACTTTTATTTTAGGCAGGGATGGTTGTCCTTCTACTATCATCTGCCGCAATAATTGTACTGTCCGTGGCCAATGTGGGAAGCGGTATCATGGTCATCTTTTCACCTTCCCTCCTGGGATCTTCTGCCTTGATGCCTTTTATTGGATTCCTGCTGGGCTATGCTCTCTCCGCAGTCTTCAAGCTTAATGACCGGTATGTTCCTCCACTCCCCCCTCCCCTCACTCTGTCACCAGAAGGAACAGAGAGGTAAAACAGCTCTGGTCTATGGACCAACGGTGAAACGTGGTGAAAACAAAACGGGCCCTAGGAGTACAGGCAGACACACTGTAAGCTGGTCCCAAGTCAATGCTGTCACACCTTGAGTGGGGAGAGAAATGAGTTCAACCTCTGCTTGGCTCAGCAGAGAGGGAAGGAGCAGCTGGAGCAGCTTTTTTGACATGGGTACCTGATCACCACGGAAGGGGTAGAAGGTTCACTGGACAAGCAGATGGATGGTTTTGACTTAAGGTCACCAGTGACCTGCCAGGCACGCATTACCAGCCTCTGCTTTCAGTAATGAAGCTGGAGGAGGAAGAGAATTAATAGCACCATATAAATAAAAAATTAAAAATCGGAGAATACCAACAGAGACCAAGCTCCAGGTAACACAATTATTCCTCAGCTGAGAACTACCCCAACCTAGTCAGTGCATTCAGCTGCAGCCCCAGGGATTCACGATGGAAACCTTGCACTCCTTCCCTTTCTCATCCTACCTAATCCAGGTAAGAAGCCTGCTAGTCCTCACTATTTTCTATTCGCTTTTACCTTCACATCTGGGAGACTCCTCTTTTCACTTCAGAAGCAGATCCCTTCCCTGCAGGAAGCTGCAAAGCCCAGAGCAGGACACAAGGCCTCCAAACACCATCAGGCACAAAGTCCACATTTATAACGTGTTCTGTCTGCACACTGCAAAGGGAGCATGAGGCAAAACCTTCTAGGGATCCCAGTATTGCTCCTGATAAAGCAGCTTTTAGCACACACAAAGGGATGAAACATTACAACAGCAAGGTGGGCAGGCTTCTTTTTCAATTGTTTAAAAGTGGATTAAATCTGTAATCTGTTTAACTTTTCCTCCTTCAGATGCAGGCGGACAGTGTGCATGGAAACTGGCTGCCAGAATGTACAGCTGTGCTCAACTATTCTCAAGATTGCCTTCACCCCAGAAATCATCGGCCCCCTGTACTTCTTCCCACTGCTCTACTTACTGTTCCAGCTTGGAGAGGGACTTCTGCTGATCCTGGTCTTCAGGATCCATGACAGAATAAAGAAACCAAATGGCAAGTACAGCTTTCTCCTGCAGTTCTTACACTTTCCAATCCAAATCATATACGCTTACGTGTAATCACCAATGACGCTGCTTTCTAGGGGCAGAATCAGGCTGCCCTTTAACTCAGTTACAATACCCAATGCATTCAACACAAATCACAGTCAAAAATTCATAGGTAACTGAAGACATTAGGAATGATGGCTTCTTGCATCAGCAGAACATTTCCTATAGCTATATACTATCTATATTATCAGTGTCAGAGGTTTTCAGAGCCCTGTGCTTAACCTAGGATGAGCATCCTGCAAAAGCTATGATTTGCACTGGGTACAATCAAAAAACAGTCACACGCACAGAGAACCTAAAACTACACGAGAACATTAGGTATTCTTTAATGCAACAAATTCCGGCTTTCCTGTAAACTGTTGAGAGATTCACTGAAGGGTGTCACTTTTGGAGCGGGGGGAGGAGGAAAAGGACAGAACTGTCAAGTACTGCAGCTGAAGGAAGGAAACACCTGGATCTTTTGCTAGAAAAGTACATAAACAGATTCGAGCTTAATTAAAATATATATACAGTACTGGTATCGATGCGAGGTAGACTCTTCTCCAACTTCAACTGGTCCATAACGCGAAAGCTCAGCTGAGCACCTGTGAAGCTGGGTGGAGAATGCACTGCTGCAAACTGATTGCAAACAAAACAGCTTAAATATTTTAACAGGACTTCCAAGTTCCTTCCTTTTGCTTTAAATCACCCAGCAACACCAATTGCAGCTGTGCCACAATCTTTCTATAACCTAGGTTCAGAACTGCCTATTCTCACTACATTTTCCTTTTTCTTCAGATGCAGCAAAAACGATCTGCACAACTGTGGATGCGGTTAGCGCTCAAGAAATGAAACCAGTGTCAAGACCCTGTAGAAACAGCGGGAAACCAGGAAAACACCACGGACAGATTCTGCAGCAGCCGCTCTCGCAAACCCTCTGAGCCCCACCTTGTGCAGCCAGTGTACAGGTCCCCGGCAGTTCTGTGTAAGGCTTCTATCTATATGCGCGTTTTACGCCAGACAAAGGGATGCACCCGCACTGTTACTTCCCAAAGACCTCACTCCAGACTAAGCCTCTCCCTGCCAGCCCACGAAGACGACTTCCAGTGACTTCCAAGCCATTGTGACAACCCTTTGGGACAGCTTAGGGCCACAGTCCCAAAGGGCTGCCCCCAGTTGTGTCCATATGAAAAATCACTACCTGCATCAATTTTCTTTTTTAATTTCACTTACCTGTGATCGCCTCGCTGGCCCACGTTGGAAGCAGCTCCCAAAGACATCACTGAAGATCAACGTAAAGTCTCTAACAAAGGCCCAAAATGAGTTGTGAAAGTTTCTCAGTGCAGGCAGGAGCCACCAAGACTCAGCATGCGGTCAAGCAGCCCATGGGCTACTGGTCGCTCCCATTTTCCAAAATCCAAGCGCTGTGCCGCGTACCGCTGAGCAGCTGAGGCCGCAAAAACTGAACATGGCCTTGGTATGTTGAGTTTAGGTACAGTGAGCTGTACCTCTGAAAACAAATGAGCCCTGAACATGCCTTGCTTTGTAGGAGTCAGCCAGCTAAATACACCACCTGCCTATTGCCACACTACAAGCACGAGGGAAGACTGGCATTAACATCTCCGATGCGCTCAGCACGCACTGCAACCTGAACTAATCCATTTTAACTAAGAATAAACAGACTCGTACCAAGAACCTACGCTTAATAAATGCAGAATCACTTCTGGCCAGAAGTCAACACAACCCTCCATAACGCAAAGCCTGGGAGTTTGTTTTAAACAGAGAGTTTGCCACAACAGCCAGCTCCCCAAGTGAAATGCAGAAATCCATTCATGCTGCTGCAAGGCAAGTAGCATGGCTTAGAAACAGAATTCGGAACAGCCATATATAGACCAGGTAGTTTTTCATACTTGGCTTGAGGGAAGGAAGCATCTGAAATGCCACCCCCTTCCAACCATCAGTGGCCTTCAGCCACCTGGGGTCCTGTTGGAGCCACATCCCACTTGAACACTGATGCCCATAATCATTCAAGCAAGCAGGACGCTCAACTGACCAGGTAACCAGCTAACTTTACACCTGGAGCAGCGTCCCTGGAAGTTAAAACTTTCTTCCACACCCCTTAAGGTGATGGAGCACCTGAACTACTACCCTCTCAGCATGAGGCCATCCACTCCCCAAAGCCAACTAGTAACAACCCACTTAACCACGTACCAACCCGACCACCTCTCGCAGCCCACTCCCAGGAGCCCCTGACAGTCTGATGCAGCGCCACACTACTGGACGTATTCACGAGGCACAGAAGCTCTTTCTTAGATACCAAAGGACTAACCTTAGGACTAACCTTCCCCAAGGCCAGACCTCACTCTGAGCAGAACCACCTTGCCCACCCTGGGCTCCAAAGATCTTTTTAAAGGTTTCAGTGGGTTACTGGAGTAGCTTTGTAAAGCACTTTAGAATTTGATTTGGAAAATAACGTGTTTTCTTATAAAGCTCTGTCTTGCAAAACATGGGGCTTGCAGAGGGCTGCTGACCCATAAGGTACAACACTGCAGTACTCCCACCCCCCAAGTTCCCCATCCCTCCTCTTCCTCCAGAGTGCGGACTAACGCCTATAAAAACGCTTTAACCACACCTCAATGTTCTCTCATACGGGTGTGCACAAACACACTCATGAAGTATGCCAACTACATCCATTTTTAACATTCCATGTTTATTATCCCAAGTGATTAAAGCCTAAATGACTTGTCCATTCCACCTTCTGCTATGAACTATGACAGCATGATTCTCATTGAGGTTCTTATTTCAGAAGACACAGCATGATCTGTTTAGAAGTTCCCTCCTCAAAAAAAAACCAACCCAAAAAACCCAGAAAACCCCACTCAACAATAGCTTTGCTGTAGACCCATCTTTAAGAAAGATTTTAACACTGTCCAAAACAGCACGTGGCATAGGCACAAACACTTTATTATCAGTAAGAACACACTAGAAGCAGACACATGTTTCTTTATACTTTATTTGAGCTACTTAATTCTTAAGTATCAAGACTTAGGGTGCTTTATAGAGTATTATTACCACAGGGCAGTGAAATGGGCATTTTCGTAGTGTAGTGCAAGTCATGTTAAATGAAAAGCTTTTAAAATAAAGTTTTATTACCAGTACTGACCAGCACTTAATCTGCTGACCTAAAACTGAAACAACGGTTCAAAAGCACAAAAAAATACCCTCTGAAATAAAGCTTTATGTACAGCACATGTAGAGCTCTTAGATGCCTAAAGCTATTGTTTAATTTGAGATATTAAACTGATGGTCTGAGTTGCTATTCACAGTTGAATATACTGGGAATTAAGTGTTTGGATGACCTTTTTTTTTTGGAGTACAAAAAAGTGTAAGTTGTCTGCTTTAGTTATAAAGAGCTCTGCCAATATACACAAACTATACACTTCAGACATTCACAAAAAATGTGAGCAAGAAAAGGGTTATCAAAAAACATTTAATACAATTAGTCAATAACCCTTCCCACCATGGTCCACATCTACAAAGTTTCCCCATCCCTCCCCCCCTCCCCATCCAAACCCTTCCCCACAGAAAGTCACATACTTACCACAAGTATTAGCAAGTATGGTTTAAAAAAGGGCCCCCAGGGCAAGTTACTTATAGTTCAGTTGCCACTGTCAACAGATCTCGACCTCGATCTAGACCTCTGCCGATCCACAGATGATGGGGATTTCGATCTACTGGAAGAACCACGTTTCTGGCTCTTCTCTGGCATTGGAGATCTACTAACTGATCGAGACTTGCTACGGCTCCTACTCCTTGACCTGCTGTAAGACTTGCGGCTGCGGGAACGGGAACGGCTACGAGACCTGGATGAGCTTCTGCTACGAGACCGTGACCTGCTTCTGGACCTACTGAGGAAACAGAGAGTATCAGTGTTAGCAACGAAATGTCACAGACCACGACAACAGCCAGGCAATTTACTGGTCTCCAGTTTGGTTGCCTGGTCACTCAGTGACTTCCAAGCTTTCTCAGTGGGTGTTTAAGCATTACTGAAGAGAACAGTAATCCATACCTGTGCCTTTTGCTGCCTTCAATTAGTTTGATTTTCCTTCCATTAATTTCTTTACCAGAAAGTTTTTCAATAGCATTCTTTAAATCACTGTAAGAGGCGAATTCAACCACCCTGAAGAAAAAAATAAAACAGAAACAGAACACAGAGTTCACAACTGCAATTTCTATTTTTGATGAAAGAGCAAAGCATATTCTGGGAGAAAAAACCCAACTCAAAAACCCCACGTTGCTCAGTGCAACCCTTGTCGTAACTCAAGCATGAATTGAAGAATTCCCTTTCCCAAATACCAGAGAATCGATTTTCAAAGGGTAGCTAAATTAAACCACGAACAGCTGCCTAGCACTGAAAGTAGCCAGATTCCCCCCCCCAAGAGTTATACATACAACTACTACTCCACAGCTTTCAAGAGATGAGTTTAGAGGCTTACCCTTCATTTAACTTAGGTCTGTGTGCATCTGCAAAGGTTACTTCCCCAGCTTGTCTCATGAAGTCTTTGAGATCCTAACACAAGACCAGTCATGTTATTCAAAGAAGTGAAATTAATACTTATCTATATAAAAATAGTTAAATACAAACAAAAGAAACTTATGACTACTGAAAGAGAAGGTTAGATAAATTACAAACATGGCAATTGCCACACTTGTATTCTATCAAAATTGAATTATCTACATCAGGGCACGAAATAAATGAAAAAAGCATATTGCTTTAAGCAAAATGCCAATAAAGTGTCTTAACATTAAGGAAAATGTTAGTCTACAAAGATTATATAGATTAAATAAGAAAGAGAGAGAGAGAGAAAGAGAGAAAGAAATAAAAAAGTACATTTGTATATATATATACTGGACTGAGTGTGAAATACTACCCACGTATTTTTGTACTATTTCAGTCTCCATTTACATTACGAGTCTTATATGCATACAGAATTACATTTACATAACGCCAATTATTTTGTGCCCCATATGTCATTAAAAATATAGTTTACTTTACCTTTATTAACATTTCCCTAGGCTAGCCAAGCAGCAAACTGCATTAAGCGACCGGAGATACCGTCATGATATATGCCCGACTGGCTCTTCGCCACCCACTTGACGAACACTACCCAGTCGATGGAAGCCATTAATCGCACTGCCCTCCCTATTAGGAGACTATTGATGGATCCAGACATTCTCTATGCTTGATGTTACCAAGGACCACTTTACTGCGATCAGGATTCCAACGACCACCTAATTTCGTATCTTTCAACTCTTTTCGACCAGGACCTCGTTATTCGGAAGCGTTACAGGAAGAACAGCTCTCAACTTAGGAATCAGATCTCGTTAACGCTCTGGGATCGCTGCAATGTGGCACTTTAAGGAGTGCATCGATTACGTCTAGACCGGCAAACACAGATCTAGAGGTGGCCAAGTGACATTGTAGGAGCTGACTGGAAAGTCAACCAGGCCCAACCAAGAGTGACCAAGACAGAACGATTAGGATAACCCACAGGCACTCCTCGTCATAAGGCCAACGACACAGATAGGCTGGCAAATAAAGGGTTTAATATGTGGTTAAAATGGATTTAAAAAACAAGAAAAAAATAAATATATATCCTCAATTACATACATTTATTATTATTAAAAATTAAGATTAACTAGTTTTCATTCAAAATATTTAAATTACATTATTTAAAATTACATTAATTACATAAACATTTTTAATAAAT